CGGCTTTCTTCCTTAGCAAGGCAGCATAGTTCGTCGCCCTCTTGATATAAGGACGTAACTGCGTTTCGAGATGAGCCCTGTCGTCCATATAACTCGATGTTTTCCAGAGCTCATCTTTAAGTGTTGTTACGCCCTATTGTCAGCTTAGCGACGAGTTATGCAGCCTCGTCTTACCCGACTTCCAATTTGCGGCATGAAAAGACTTTTTGACGAAATTTAACTCGAGCATGCCATCTCACGTGACCTTGCTTACATTTACAGGCAATTTCTCCAATCGGTCGATCGATTTAGTTACTCAATCGCGTTTTGATGTTTTAAGATTAACAAAAAATCATAAGATCAGTCCAAACACCTGCTTTTTACGGGAAAAGCTATGTTCCATATCTTTCTGGAACTAGGTTGAATTGTTTCATTTTAAAATATGTGAATGTGTATTTTTGATGGGTTCTGTTTAATGAATAATAAAACTAAAACTTCGCACGTTGACTAGATAATTGGATTATTTCTGTCAAACGGAACTATGTGCATCATGACGTGAGCCCTGTTATGCATACATTCCAATGGGTCTCAGGGCTCATGTCTTACTATACATAGTTCCGGTTGGCAGAAATACGTCCAGTTGTATAGTTTCGTTATCAAAACAATCCCACGTCCTCGAGATGGACGGGAGGATCTACGGCAGAGGCGGATCCAGCAATTTGGCAACACCGGATTCCCTCAATTTAAACCTATGTTAAATAATCGATTCTTGTCGGAGCACCTGGCCTCTCCAAGAATCGATATATTTTCATAGGTTTAAATGGAGAAAAACAATGTTGCCAATTTGCTGGATCCACCAATGATCTACGGTATCCTCATATTGAGTCTTCACCTGCTGTACTTGCGCTCGGCCTCGGCACCTCATGATGGATGGTTTGGGGATGTCTTAATCTTACAGATGCCAGAAAGTCCAATTTACTTAAAAGCTCCGTCATTCATTACTCTCGCTCTGCTGCCCCGTAATATTTTGATACGCAATTCCTCCCTTCAACTTTGATATTCATCCAAGCTTCACTGTCATGAAGCTCTCGCAGGAGCCCGGGATCTGCAAATTAATAACTTTATCCGACGCACTTGAAATTTTGCGAGAAACTTTCGGGGTTCAGCAGTTAAGTCTGCAACCCACTCTCAAGAGCACCGGACAGATCGATTGTCTCAGAAGCAGAGGCACTATATTTTTGCGCTAACAATCGAAGCAATGTATTCGGGTGAAGCGAAAGGTATCTTCGCAGTTAGTGGTGAGGATTTTTCGAAAACATCGAATAATCGAGATTCGATTTTCTTGGAGAAGCCGATTTCATGGATTTAAATCGTGACAAAAAAATTGATTTAAAAAAATCGGATATCATTAAGACTCAAAAGTCGCAGTGAAACTCAAAACTCAAAACTCGAGTGAAAATTTACGTGAAGTTCGCTAAAATTTTAGTTCAAAAATCGGCTCACATGCCGATCTAAAACTTTTGGGAAGCAAAAATCGGAATTTTCGATTTTGAGGGAAAGATCGATTCACACACTTAATCAAATCCAATGAAATGGATGCAATCTAATAGATTTTTTTTTAAAAATCGACTTTTCAAGAAAATCGCTAATAATTCCCGACACTTTTTCGCAGATCGCTATTTTTTACCTAGTGATGTTACCTAGTGAGTTGATAAGCAACTTGTGGGGCTATAAATGCATCAAAGAATGACTGGCGTTATGGGCGGGTTTTTTTTTTTGTTTTTTCTTTTTTCTTTTTTAGTTCTTTGCTAATTAAATGTAACATGAAAGGAAGTTATGCAAAATGCAATACAATAAGGCTGGCCTTGATTAAAATCTTGATGAATTGAAAACATTACTTCTTAACTTTATGTTAAGGTTTAGAGGTTGAATTGTATAAAAACTCCTCAAAATGATTCTATTGCCTGGCTAGAGCCTATATTCCACAACCTGACATTTTTCCAAAATAATAATTGTGGCGGCCACAATCTGTAATACGTCAAAGAAGTTAGCGACACAAGGAATTGGAAACTGAAGGATTTATCTAAAAACAAAACAAAAGAGAAATGCCGTCGCCACCCATACAAAACTGAGATAAAAAAAACCCGAGGATGGAAAAAAACTAAGGAAGCGGAATTGGTTTGGAGCGGTCGGAGGTATATTAAATGGAAGAAAAAACTGCAGAAAAACGACTAGCAAAGAAAACATTTTCCCCATTCTTCCTCACGGAAAAAGAAGCCATTTAAATAACATCCCTTCCTGGTATAGACCGCCCTTTTCCCAGCCGACCGATTCCCCCGCCTCCTTTTTTTCAGGATCGTAAGATTCCATGAAGAAAATAAAGGAAGTGATCAACAAATACAAAGAGATATAAGATAGAGAAAAGACGGCGCAAAGTAGTTGGAGACTTAGGTTTGTCGATGAAAAACAAAAACAAGAGCTAATCATGAAATGTGTGGGTAAATCGAGGACCATTAATTACTGTTCAGCAGCCACTCAAAAATTTCAGCAGTGTCTACTTTTAAATTTCATCCATAATAATCAAAGCAAGTGTATGTAATTCATCGAAACTTTCACTGAATATTCTTAATGATTTTACATCGCTGCAAACGAAATATCTCGGAAAATTCACCTGATGGTTTACTCTACTTATATATAAGTTGAATTTATTTATGCTAAAAGGAACTACGTGCATATGGAATGCATGTAACATAGTTCCTTTTATCATAAACACGTCCGGTTATAAATTAGCAATGGAGATTATGAAACGCTGCATTCGCGAAGTGTTCGATCTGCACCCAACCATTCAATAATTTCATCGTAAATTACACTGAGATTAGTTTATCAACCTATTTGATCATCGGCTTTGACTTCACACTGAGCAAGAATGTCGAATTAAAATCACAAAAGACGTTAATTTTCCCCTCTAATCAAATCTGGATATCTTTAATGCGTCCACCTTGTTCTAGGTGAACTTTTGATGAGAAACAATAAATCATGCTGTATATTCGATTGTAGCCCTATTAGGCAGTCGATTGCCATCCACTTTACTGAAAAAAATAATATGCTGTTTTAGCACCTAGGATGTCAAAAATGTGTCTAGTGATTCCAAGATGCTGCCTCTACTGCTCTCGCAGTTAACTTTACAACCTATGAATGCAAATTCAATTGCGTGGGCAATCAAGGTGGTATCTTAGGATCACCAGACATATTTTTGACATCCTAGGTGCTAAAATAGCACACCGTTTTTTTAGTGTTTACACCTTTGAGTTTTAAGACCCTCAAATTTTTCCAGCGACGTCTCTTATTTCGCTTAGTGTGTGTCGAAGATGCAAAAGAATGAAGTCTCATTTCGAAGATCGTGGGAGTTTCACGTGCTGGTTGTCAGACTTGTCAAAAAGCCCCGGAAATATTAAGAATTTTTAATGCGCTTTCCCCCGTCTCGCAACACTGTCCACACTCCCTCAAGTAATGGAATGCCAGCTGTGAGCCTGAAATGTGTCTCTTCAGAGCCTCATTCTCTTGAGGGATTGTCGGTCAATCACTTTAGGAAAATTGTAAGATGGTAGTATTCCATTTAGGCTACCACCAGTAGAAAAATCGAAAAATAACACACGGGCTAACAACATCGCAACTGTTTCTGGAGCTGACAGCTAGTTTTTCGCCTTATTGTTGGAAATAAGATGTTAAATTCCGTCTGAGAGAGATCGCAGTGGCACACTGAAACAACTTCGACCTCCACTACTTTACTACTTTGGCTACTTCTGTTTTCTGCTTTCAAATGTTTGAACTACCTCAATAACAAATGAATGTTTTAAAGAGTATAACTCCAGGAAACAAGGAGACGAATTCTAATTTTACTCGACGAATGATATCAAACAAAAAAAGAAAAAAAGAAATAAAATAGAAAAAATAAAAACATTCGCTTTGGGAAATTATTCATTCGAAAAAGTTCAACACCTCTAACAGATGCTTCAAAGCTATAATTGAATTTCCTAACTCGAACATTTTAATAGTTTTTTACGTATTTAAAATGAAGAGCCGACTTTCCTAAAAGCAGCTCAGTGACGGAAAAATAGCTTCTTCCTTTCAGTTATTACGGAACTTTCTGCTGAATATGGCATTTTGTAATCTCCCAGCATTCTGTCAGTAAAATTTTTGCAAATAACATACTTGTTATGATGCTGTTATACTTGTTTTATTAACGTTTTATTGGAACTTATTCTTAAATTGTATTCTACGTAAAATTCTGGTTGGGAAACGTGTATCGGAATGCTTGACATGTGCCATAGTCTCAGTTGGATCGCGTTTAGCAAAAAGGAACCAGCGCAATTACAGTTTTTTTTCAAAATCGTGCGACTTCTTTTTTTTTTTTAAAAAAAATACGCAATATATTTACATTACTCAAATTTACATAATTATTTTCCTTTAAAGTAACAAAGTTTTGGCAGGGAACAAAAACTATTTGCTATTCTGGGAGACTTTTTGGATGATTATAAAGAAGCAACATTTTTACAACACTATAGTTGCGCTGGTTCCTTTTTGGTAAATGCGATCTGAATATGAATCTCTCTTGTACGAATATTCGAAAATAAAATAGAACAAGCCGGCCAGGTTGGTCTAGCGATCAGTGCGTCTGACTCTAGACCTATAGGTCCCAGGTTCGAATCCCGGTAGTGGCGACAAATTATCACGGAACTGACGTGTGGATCTGCAGAAACAGATTCTGCTCGGCCTTAATCCCTGAAAATTTGAAAGCCGGAGCATGGATGTGCCAGAATCCCCTGATGTCTACTGACAGTAAAATAATCTCTACGTTAAAACTCATGTCTATATGGCTATAGATTCCTAAGTTACAAAATAAACGGAATAGAAGCTAAATAAATAAAACAAAAAAGTTCCGTAACTGGAACATTTCAACAATTTTTTTACGTATTTAAAATTAGGAACTAACGCCCCCACGTTAAAAATTTGGAAAAAACCTCAAGAGTCACAGGAACCGCAAACACAAATTCGAGGGAAAACTCGACGAGGCGTGATGAATTAGTTAAAGCCGGAGCATCGGTGACGCGAAACGACGCGACGGACAGCGAGGCCGAAGCGGGCGTAGGCGGCAACGAAAACACTTCAAAGAGCGGGCGCAGCGTGATCTCCGCGCGACCCAACGTGAACGTGGACGGCCATAACGCGCCGCGACGTGAACGCCCGAGCAAAAGCGACTGACTGAGCTTTAACCCCAACTCGAGTGTTAAGGGATGCCTTCGAGAGCACAGCGCCGCTCGACACCCTCCGACCACCCGATGCGCGTCCCCCCGCCACCCTTCACCGGTGGCAGGGCTCGTCCGCAGCCAATAGCGTTTTCCACGGGAACTTTAGGTGTAGCAGAATGAACCAATGGCTAAAGTAGGAATTAAAGCACCAATACTTGTTAAAAATAATACAAATTTTCAAATTCAACTCGTAGGTGTGAAATTAGAGGTTGTTTTTTATGTTAGGATCGAACTAGGGGGCTCTGCCCCCTAGCCGCTGAGCGGCCTAGCCCACGGGGGGTTGCGCGTCCCTAGAGAGATCGTCGAAATCGCCCGTTGGCGGTTATGAGCAAATAATTTTAATTGAATAACAAAACGATGTTTCAAAGAATAATTTCTCGCCAAACAAGATTCTCGATGGCTTTTTCCTTACTTTAAATTTTGATTCCTTTTTCGGAAGTCGACCTTTACAGGGCCGCATATAGCTGTCCATGACTAAACAAATGCCTCTGGAAGTAAAGACTCACTCTGTTAAAACTCTGACCTTTGAACTCCCCTTCCTCACTCTTGCCCGTCGACCGTCTTACTTCCCTCCTCACCCCGCCCATCGAGCGCCTTAAAAATGATTTTATTAGAATAGAGAGGATTTTCGAAATCAACTCATAAGTGTGAAATTAGAGGCTGTATTTTATGTTATAATCAAATAAGTTAAACTTCTCGCTCACAAAAATGTAGAGATGTAGCGAATTCTGGTTCCTATGTGTAAAACACGGATTTAAACTTTATACTACGTGAAATAATAGCATATGAGATCAATAATCTGCCAAGTCTAGTTTTTATCGGTTAATTTAAATGTTAATTCAAATGTAAAAATGAAAATGAAAATGAAAATTCAGAAACGAAGTAATTCAGAGACCCTGCTCTAAGTATCCTAGCAAAATTTTAAAAATGACGGAAGCAAATAGTTTATTGTGGTATCGATATGATTTTTTCCCGGTGGCCATAAAAGACAAGCATTTCTTGCTCGACCTTGTGTAGGAACAAGATTTTAGAACAGAATTCTCGGTGAGAATAGAGTGATAAACGAGCAACTCAGCGATTTTAATCTTATATCGGCCGCGAAACTGAGCAGGAGCTCAACTCTCAGTCTCAGGCATGGTATGCGTCTTGCGCGCACCTGTGAAAACGCCTTCAAATGATGTGATACCTCTTTGACGACTTGGGAGCTGGTTTAGTTGTATCGGCGCTGTAACCCAACATGCGCTCGCCACGCGCTATGCGCTGGCTTACTGTCGCGCTTGATGTGATTCGTCCTGATTTCTCCGTGTGGTCATGCGATGTATCACATTGATTGAATCAAAACTCTTGTCAGATTTTGACCTCTTAGCCGTAAAAAGATGATAGCCCCTACGCGTGAGTCGCAAAAATCATTTTCAGCGAAAAAATTGTGAAATTTGGAGAAATGAAAACATGATTTGGCCACGAAAAAAACGTTGCACTCTATACTGCCTATAAGATTTCTTATAAGAAATCATATAGGCAGTCTTTCATCACCATGTAACGCCGTGTTGGTCTCTTTTGATTTTAATTTCTTTTTTATTTCGCACTATTTTAGCGGTTGATAATGGTTTTGTGAGACACCGAAACGTCCCGTTTATAGTTATGTATTTTAGCCTTGTTTCAGTTGTTTCATTGTTTTACTTTTAAACAGAAATCGATGCATTTAATGGGGTAAGGATCCGGTTTAAACCTGGTTTTAAAGTTTTCTGAAAACGGAGATTTTCTCACGGGAACCGCATTTATCTTCGTTTTACTAGGCTTCTCGAATGAAGGGCTTCGAATTAGCGCGAGCATGAATTGAAAACAGTAGAGGCCAGCAGTCATACTCGCTCTATGTGTAGGTGTTGTGAATTACTGAACGCTTTCATCTCAGTCCACTCGGACTGTCGAACTCCTCAGCGAAGGGCATGAATATGACATTCTGTCATTGACAAATTACTTATCCGGTGTGGTAGCAGTTTCGGTGTCAGATTCGAACGCTTCGATCCTCGAAGGGTGGAAGGAGGGAGCATCTGAAGGATTTGAAAAGAAAGAGTGCGGTTAAAAGATATGAAGGGGCGGGAAGGGGTATTGATTCCTCTTGAAGTATCAAGGATGCTGCTCTTGGAAAGAAATCCGGACAAGTACATGGGTGGCTCAAGACAAAACTGAAGAGTGGCAAGATCAGCGAAGTGGCAGCTGGGAGGAGGGCAAGGGAGGCGTGCTCATGTTGCCAAATAAATTGGTGAATATAGCAAAAATAAGGACAAACAGCAGAGAGCAAAATGAGAAGAATATCTGGGTGGTTTTGCGATAACTGGAATAGTTTTGTCGCCGTAACAGCAACACATTTTTCGGTTATATTTTTACATGACAATCACTCGAATTTTTTCGCATTGATCTTCAAAGGGTTACGTGTTTTAACGCTCTCTAATGTTTTATTGCTCTTCTTCTCAATTAATATTATGTAAATGGCCGCAAATGTGCTGTCTATTACGCGGTAAAAAGTCAGCACATTTTCGGCCGTTTACATAATATTAATTGCGGACTGCATTTTGCAATTTCGACCTATGAATTCTGGTTAGTCTGAAAAAACACTTATGTGCATAGGGAAACTAATGGCACATACGTTGTTTTTAAACTGGACCGGAATCTATAGTTCCAAATTGCAAAATGTAGTCAGAAGTGGAGCAATAAATCATTAGAAAGCGATAAAATACGTAAACCATTGAAGATTACTGCGAAAAAATTCAAGTGATTATCATTACCACTAAAAATATGGCCGAAAAATGTGTTGTCTGTTACGGCGACAAAACGATTCCTGTTGTCGTGAAATCACCCATCTGATGAACCGTTCATTAATTTAACCACAATTCGTAGTGAGAAACTACTATTTCTGGCTCATTATAGAAACATCGTACTTTTTATTGATGTTTACTTCAATAGATGAGCCAGAAATACTAATTTCCTATTGCAAAATGAAGTTCAAGTAGACTGCATCGTGCGACGATCTGTCAAGGGAACTCGATCGGATTTCTTTCGATACCATGATGTGCCTTCTTCAATCGCCAACTCGAGCGCCTCGATAAATCCCTATCTTAGCAATGTTTCCTATCGATAAACGTCGTTCGATTCGATTCAACAATCGCGCCGCATCCCTCATCTCATGCAGTGTTTTTAGTAGTGAAACGCTATAATTTATTTCTCGCATTCACAGTCATTTCTTCATTGCCCTCTTCCATTAGCCCGAAGCTCATTTTTTATGCGTCTCACGAAGTGGTCGTGGCGTTTCATCGCTCCCCGGATTATTACGGTCCATCTGCGGCAGAGCACGAGAGAGAGAGAGACGCTCATAAGAGCAGCGCGAGAGGGCAGGGTTCTGATTCCACTCTGATGATCCCGATCAATCTTCTTCGTTGCCACAAGTGGCGAGTCCCGCTATTATCCGCTCGGATAAATACGAATGCGTTCCATCGGCTATGCTAATACTGCTTTGCTGAGGAGAAACGCCGTATGAACATTCGAGAGTTGCCAAATTACCTTTAGGAAAATGTTTATTTTTGAAGAAAGTTACACATATTTGCCCTTGAAATTTTCAGAAGTTTTAGATGAAACTGCGAACAATATTGTCTGAAAAATTGGAAGAAAAATATGCATAACTTTCACAATAAATTTGTATAATGTGAAAGGAAACTTGGCAACGCCTGAAGGCTCATACGTCGTTTTTCCCTAGCACGGCAGAATACGAGCGCTGTTTCCTTTGTACCTCACCCGCGAAAAACCGCGGAAACATTGTTTCATAAATTGGAGAACTAATTTTTGAATCTTTCCCACAGCAGCTTTTTAAGCTCACGGTAGAATTGGTCTGTTGCACCCAAGAGAAACAGTCGACTGAGTAGAATAATATCTGAATGAATTTGGAGAAATAATATAATAGAAATCTATATTCCTCACTTCACAAGACAAGGCGCATAAGTGCAGTTTTTGCTGTTTCAAGGAATACGTATTGAAAGTTTCAAAATTACATGGAACCATAAATGACCGAAAGGAAGTTTAAACACACTTTTGGATGCTTTGAAGTTGGATTTTAGTCGTGAATTTTTCACAGAATATACTTTCAAACTAGTTTTAGTTTAGTTCATGAATATCTCAGTTTGTTTAAAACTGTGCTTATGCGCCTTGTCCTCCAAACCCCTTTACTTCGGTTTTTTGGGGGTGGGGAGGGGGGGGGGGCTTGGAGAATACTAAAAATTGTGAACGATATCTCTTACGGTTTGGGAGTACGCAGAGAGCTTCAATGAAGGCCACTAGTTTTAATGACGTTCTTTAAATGTATGATCGTGCGATTACGGGTCTGGAACTCAAATCTTCCAAATCTCGAGCTCCATATCCTCCCATGGGGAGAGGTCAGGCCCAAAAGGGTGCAAGAAGGCTGTTATACTTCTAATTATACGTACCTGAAACAGTGCAAAAAAAAACACAAATTAGCATCACAATTTTAGAGTTGGACATTAAAAGCAATAAATAATCGAGTAGGGCAACATCTGTAGAAGTCGATGGTCAACACTAAGTACTATTCGCCTAATCGTGTTGAGTATAAAATTCACCAAATGATGACTAATAAATCGCCGGGTGAAAACTTTGCTCGGCAAATTTTTCAATTTTTTTTAAGATTACTAGATAAATAATTAGACAAATCTGAGCTTCGATTTCCAAAATTAACTTTTTCACTCTGCGGGAGGTAGCAGTTCACAGTGTAGTGGCGAGGCGGGAATGGTCGATTATCGACATTCCCCCTTTTAAAGCTATGGTAAAGAATCGATTATTTAGGTGTTCGTCACGAACACACCGTTTATCGATCCTTCTCCATAGGTTTAAATGACAGATCAATCGATACATCGCAAAGCTCGCCACGCCACTAGATCAC